ATCTAAGTTTCAAATGGACACCAACTACCTGTTGTAGAAACCTACAAATGTAGAGGACGACATTTCGATACGTCGTCCTCTACATTTGTAGGTTTCTACAACAGGTAGTTGCTGTCCATTTGAAACTTAGATTCATTATGAATACTCTGCCTAAATAACCTATCCAATATCAATGTCATTTTAAAATTGAAAATGTAATTTGTTATATATATATATACACACACACACCAAAACCAAAAAATAACAAAACATACATTGAACCAAAATTGTTAAACATTCTGAATAAAGTTAAAATATGAATTTTAAGAATTTAAAAAAATTATGTTTTTGAAATTGTATTTTTCATTTCTGCAAATGATTCGAAATTCAAATATTTTAAGTTTATTTATTTCAAATATCTCAAACTTCGAGATACTCTTGTTTTTTCTTTTCTACCAATACTCTAAATCCCAGGAATTTAGTTTTCGTTTTCTTCAAAAAACTCAAAACTCTGGAAGGAATTTTCTTCTTCTCTGTTTTCCAAAATAACCCATAATTCAACTGAGTATTTTAGTTTTCTTTATTGTGTAATGTTTCAAAGCTTATATATATCTCCTCTTTTCTTTATTTACCCAAAAACTCAAGTATTTTAGCAGTTTTTACCTTTTCTTAAACTTTTCGAAAACTCGTATGTTTAGCTTCTATTATGGTGTATGTTCAGAAATTTGAAGTATTTTTGGTTTTCTTGCTGTATGATACCTCAAAACAGGAAATAATTTTATTCTATCTTCTGTATTTACACCGAAATAGAGATGCTCAACGTCTGCTTGTTGTGCATGTACGATTTCAAACATTGTATATTTATACTTGCTAAAAGATAAACATTTCACTTTAATCTCTTTATACATCTCTAAAGTAAAGTGTTTTTATTATTGAATTTTATATCACACTGAAAAACTCAGATGTTTCGTTTTGTATATAAAAATATTTAAATATTAATTATTTATTATTTTTAATATTTGAAATATTATTTAAAGCTCCTTTTTACGATATATACCAATATAATTATTTAAAGATCCTTTTATGTAGTATATTTATAACAATACCATCAATTGGAGCTTTTTGTATACGGTATATAACAATACCAACATTTAAACTTTCTTGTATACAGTATATAACATTATCATTATATATTCGTGTATTCTGTGTATATCTGTTTCTTGAACGACCAGGTTTTAACTCAATGTGTAACAGCCTTTATTTAATAAGACGATAAGAGTTCAGGTGTCTCAGTTTACTGTTCCATTACTAAATGCATACTTACTAGTTATACAACCATTCTTTTAAAACCACGCAAAGGTTTCATTTCGTAGACTGGATTCTTCTTTTTAATTTATGGTCTTTCTATAATGTTTACAAGTGTATTCGCATCTAAAACTACCCAGAGAACAAAGATCCCACTGAAAAACAAAAAACTGACGTTTCGCAACATGATTTTTTCTTAAATATTCATATCACTAAAATTATATATATAAAAAAACGTAGAAGCTGTTAACAAGATGACTTCACTTTGGTCTCGCTCCAACAGAAACACTCCTTTCGTCATGTATTTTGTTTTTCTTGGGATTTTTGGCACGAACACAAGAAAATATTCTGGCATATTAACTAGATAAAAATAGATCGACATAAAAACCAGCTACACTAACGTTTGTCTGTAATACTATTTTTATCGTCCTGTTAACTTTTGAAGGATATTACTGTTATGGAAATATCGATTCCTATATCGATTATTGAAAATGATATGACATGGCCAACTGTTGAAATATTTTAAAACTTCATTACAAAACTTAAAGAAGGTCGTGAATATCAAAATATTTCTTATCATAATTATAGTTCTAGACTAAAACTTTTAGAAAAGGCTATTGTATTTGAATGTTATGTTTCGCAGTCAGGATTCTTAGAATAGGTTTTTTAATGAAAGTTTTGTCTGTATTCAAATTCGTACCATAATTACTGTTATCAATTCAACTTTTAAATGAAGGTCATAAGTATTCAAATTCGTATCGTAATTATTATTATTAGTTCAAATTTTAAAAAGCTTATAACTATTTATATTGTATACCATAATTATCAGGGCATCAATAGTGCCCCCGCCTTCCTGTGGCCGCAGGGCCTCAAGACTGTAAAGACTTTCTTTAATCCTGAACAATTTTCTTTTTACTGCCCTTCCCCAAATGCTGAACTCGTTGGAATTTTAGGAAGTGCAGTAAATGAAATAATATTTAAAATTAAAGAAAGCTTGTGGATTCACAAAATACGTCCACAATTGAACGTCAATCAAACGACTTCATATGTACTTTTGAAACTACAACTGGAATTCTTTGTTGTCTGATGATGGTTTAAGTAGAACCGAAAGCTTACATGATGTAGTACTGCGAACATTATAGAGAAGGTATTCGTTATCGATCACTTCCCCAAGTAGCCCAAAGCTTATCCATTGTTTAATACGTTAGCACAGTTCATCACTGACGTGTTGGTTGAACAATAAATAGCACAAATTAAAGCTCCTGAATAAATCCATGTGGATCAAGGAGCTAGTTTCAATAAACAAATCCACGTAGATGAAGGAACTAGTTTCAATAAACAGTTACTTTTTGAGTTGTGCAAAGTTTTGAGATGGTGAAGATGCGCAATCACTATATCACTCTCAATCTGTTGGTTTAGCAGAATGGGAAATACAGACTATCAAGCAAATGCTTACGATTTGTTTGTTTGAATTTATGCAAAAAGCTACACAATGGGCTATCTGTGCTCTGCCCACCACGGGTATCGAAACCCGGTTTCTAGCGTTGTAAGTCCGCAGACATACCGCTGTGCTACTTGGAGGCGATGATGCTTACGAAGTTTGATAATCCTGACCATATTGAACAAACAATTACTGTATGTCCTGATGTCATATCGGGCAACAGAACAGAACAGAAGTCATCTGGTTGTTCGACAAGCATGCTTTTTGTGGATGTGGTGGATAGTCTGCCCCCTGGAGCAGATATGTCAGAGTGTGTGTAAGACTACATGTAGCGGTTAAGGTCTACCTAAGTTAATGTATATGCGTGAGCAGCTAGTAAAAGCCGCCATTTGTAAGAATAGATTCTAGGATAAAGTAGTGAAAAAAAAGTTCGGATGCACGGAGATTGGATATTGCTTTGGTATATGCCTATAGCACAGAAGAATCTCGAGTATGCGTAAACTAGTCGTTGCCTCGTTCTTCAACAACTCAGTCCAAACTAAGAGTTAGGGTTTTTATGTGGCGCACATAAACGTGTTGAACACATTGATAAACTATAACTTTATGCCACTGTACAGAAGCTAAGACTGTTGAGTTACACAATAGTGATTCCCTATATTTTATATAATCTCGACTCAGTTGATGAGGAAGTCCAAGAGGAGCTACATGAGGAAACGACAGTAGGAGTAGTTATGTGACAGCTTTGAGGATCAGACAAGGCACCAACGGTGACCTTCTGATTGATGATAGCCACTAGACGGTTGGAATTTACTGCAAAACCAGCAATTAAGACGAAGGATTAATTGGTAGATTTATTGTTGAATGGAAATGACATTCCTTACTTTCTAAGATATCAATCAGTGTTTTATAGTGAGATATCTAAAAGACATTGTGCGATACCTGTTCAATTACTGCATGGTTAGGATGTTAGTAAATATAACGCCTTGAACATCGTAAGTTTGCTCTAGATTGCTAGAAGTACGAAAACAAGGGTGAAAAAAGCGTTGCGACCCTTACTTTTTGAGCTGTCGAGCGCTTTGTGGTGTCTTGAAATAATCACTCGCACTACCTAGTTGAATAGTAGGAAAATATCTGTGAAGTAAATTGTATGATAGTCACTAGACACATGGTTAGGACAGATGATTTTATAGGCTATAACGCCTAGAATGCGAAGTATATTGTATAATAGCCGCTAGACACAAAATTAGGACAACTTATTAAGCTATAACGTCTAGAATATTTTCAATAGGCAGGGTTGAAAATTATTACTAGGATTTTTAATGCATCTGAAAGCTGAAAGGACTTTGCAATCCGAGCA